AAGACTTAATGAATAAATCCCTATAAAAAGGCACATTAAGGCTACCCATCACATTTGAGAAATCTAGAAATTAGCTTCAAATAAATTACCATTTAATAATATTATGTTTTGCCCTTGCCATGATGATGTTATCAGTATTCCTATAAATACATTTGTTTTTGGTCTGTTTTCAGAAAAAATACAGGGATTTCCGATTGCAAGGCGTACTGGACTCCACTTTAAACAGCAAGACATATGACGCAATCAAAACCAGGCTAGGTGTAGAGGAGAGTGTAGCTTCAATCAGCGAAGGAGGTGGCTTGCAAGGAATTACCATGAAAGACAGCGATGAGGAAAATGAAGATAACAATTAATTTATTTTGGTTTTAGAGGCCCTTTTGGATGTAGCCTGGTACCCAGTGCATGTCTGTTATGTTAAACCATACTAGGGACTTTTCCGTCAGCTCCAAATGCCCATAAGAACTTTACCAATAGAAATCTCATTCTAGCTGTGTGATAAATAACAAATACACACCTACATTTGGTTCATGGGATTCCCAAATTTCAAATCTATATATGTTCATAAGCAATATAGAGCACCATTGTTTAAATACTGTTAATTGAATTATAATGAAAACATGCTAGGTGTCTCCCTTTCCTCGGCAAAAAGTAAACAATGCTTCATCAGTACTGTAATGTATATACGTTGATGGTAAATTGTTGTGAAAATTAAGTGACCTCTAGTAATTTCATTTATGTTGCATCAGTAGCAGCTTATCAAATGAATTATAAAAAAAAAAAAAGGCTTTCTTTTTAAAGACAAGTAAGGCTACACCCAATGAGGTTCATCATTAACAAAACTAAGAGAGACAACAACAGAAACAACCGATTTCTTTTCATTCTGAATTCTTGTTTATACAACCATCATGATATATTTTCAACATTCCGTTAGTTGAGTAGAGGTTACATGTCCGTGGAATAGTATTCTGAAACCACACAAGTTTACCTTTGCCATAATAGAATACATCTAAACAGGACCACCCTCCAAGCCAGCTTTATGTTAAAGTCTTCTTTATCAATGTTATGTTCTGTTTAGGTTTTAATAAAAGTGTATGTAAAGAAAAAAATTAAATAAAAAGAAAGACAACTTTAATAACAAACTTAGACTATAAACTGTGTTTATAATATTATACAGTACTTATTTCCGTAGATTGTAGCCTTGATTTACATTGCATTATGTTGAACAATTCTTTTTATATTTGCCATGTACATTGCATTTTATCCAGTAATTGCATGTCACCAGGGTCCCTCAAGAAGCTTTTTTTTCTCTGTGTAAAATAGTGGATCCATCTTGCTTTTGCCTTACAAAAGCCTACAGTTGTAAAAGTGTGAACACTGTGGCTTCTCAATAAATAACTATTCAGATGTCTTACAAATCAATCATTTGTTTGTTGCATTGCTGTGGGGATGAGTGTCTCTTTAAATTAATAGTGAAGTCTCATGATAAGTAACTAACGTGTTAAAATCATTGTTAATACCAACATGCAAGGGCAGTTCCAGAGCCTGATTTTGGAGGGGCAATCCTGAATTTGTGTCAGATTTTATCTTTAGAAACATTTGTATAAACACAGATAGACAAACTTGCAAACATAGATACAGTGACAAATACTACATCTACACCCACACAAACAAATTCAAAGGATAAACATACCTGCACCCACACACAGACAATGACACAGACAATGACACAGACATATACAACCACACAAAGGTAGACACACAAATTTGTATTACTGTTCTCAGCTTCTCGGTGTGAAGTGTTTGCCCTAATTCTTTCATCTTTGATCATCTAATGCCTCCATGTTCATAGACAAAGCCTGGGATTAACCCAGGTTGTCTGTGATATAGAATACATATTTATAACAATGACCACAGTGATTGAAAAAAAGTCATGACCACTGATGTACCGAATGCCTGACACACTTGCTCTGATTCTTTTCATATTGTCTATTGTTATCTGCTTGTCTTACTTGTAAAGGTTATTACAATAGTAATACTAATTTAGAATGCTGTCCGCATTATATCAAGTAGACAATGTTTTGTCCAATGTCTATGATATCATAATACAGATTAAGGGATACCATAATGATATAAATGAGTCGTCACCCAAAAAAAAGGCAATAAAATGAGATTATGCAAACTTTCTGCCAAACAAGAAAACTAAGCTGAAAAAACTGACTACAAGGAAAAAAACCAAATAATACATAAAGAGTGAACAAATACAAAGTGTGAATAATTTCCACATGCCCTCTTATTTCTTTACCCATGAGGCAGTGGGATAGTAAATTTGCACCTCAGTGCTTCAAAATAAAAAGTTCAATCTGATGTTTCCACAAGAAAGTCATACAATAAAAGTCAGATTTTTTTTCTACCTGTATGTTTATGTTTTAAAAATATTTGTGGGCATGTATGACACATAGACGTACTGTTTATTGTCTAGGTTACATTTCCCCTTCCTTATAGTAATTTGTATAGCCATTGTAATATATCACAAAATTCCATTTCATGAAGTCATGTAATTCTAACCAGGAGTTGTGGAGACAAAACAGCGTCACAATGATGTAGAAAGCAATTTTTTGTAACTGTATACCTACCGAGGGGGTAATCTACTCTATGTTATTAAATAAAGTCATCAGTGTGACAAAGCACATTGTAATTTTAGTTCCTCAGATGACAGCAGTAATTATGATGTTCATTATTGTGAAAAAGGAGAAATTACTTTAAAGCTAATTTTGTGAGCAAGCAATATATATTTGAGAAGCTATATATGATGCAGAATATAGCACACTTATGCAAATGTAATGGGGAGTAAGCCTGCCTGTACCCAATTTTGTAATTCTTCTGTGGCTCTCTGCAGTAAGGGGACACAAAAATCACTGTTTGGTATACCCCCCCCCAAAAATCATGTATTTTTTTTTATTGAAGAATATGCAAATCCTCCACTTTTCACCCCACTTAGGCTTTCTGTGGCTCTTCAATCACAGACTTCTCAAAGCAGCGCAATGAGAAGTCTTTGCAAGGCATGTACTCTGGGCAATTACCTGCCTCTTGAATTTAGCTCCACTGAGCTAACCAAACCAGGAAGTAACATGACCTGTTATCTGATTGACAGCCAAATGAGTGTAACAAGTTTAATTTATAAAAGTGCCAATTCTATTGAAACATGCACTCTTTGTAAAAAAAATTTTTTAAAAAGGACACACCTGGAATATATCGGTGGCTGAAGTCCTCTCAGTGGTAGAATCTATAGAAGGAAAAAAAAATATATAGAGCAAATAAATGATTATCTACTTACTGGCTTACAGCAAAAATAATGGTTTTGCTTAATCCATAATGCTTGTGTGCTACATTCCCCACCCCAGAATATAATGTCCAGACAACAGTAGTATAAAGCAGGATAGTCCAGGAATAGTAAAAAGTATCTATCTTTAATAATTTTCTTATCTTTTAATTAATACAAAGTTTAAAAATATAACGCTGATGTGTTTCACCACTAATAGGGCTTTTTCAAGTTGTTACAGTGACCTGAATTGCTTGTATAGCAAAAGACAAATTAAAATGTCACGGTAAGATTAGGTCATTATCGCTCAAATAGAAACAAAGATGATGTTGTAAACATCTTATTGACATTGGCTGTAGTAGTAATATAGAATAACAAAACTTGTTTGGTAAGAGAATTATAAACAGTATTGGAGAAAAGATACTCAGGAAGAAGAAAAAAAGGTTTACCAAGATGGTGCTGCGGCATAGGTCAAGTGACCAAAGGACAGCAATTTAAATGCTGATAAAGAATGATAAAGAAGGGCCAAACATTTCTGATGGCAGCGCTGTGCACATGCACATTGTTGGGAGTCTGTTTCATCACTAAGCTGCTACTTTCAAGGAGAGATTGATGGTGAGTGGCCACTGAACCAATATGGTCACCAACGCTACAGACTGGATCTATAGGAAAGCTTTGTTCTTGTCAGGGTGGTGGAAGGGGTATGTGTATGGTCAATTGGTAAATCAGTTGGATGGTTGCATTATTTATTGCAGTGTTGCACTGAGGTTCAGAACAATTTTACATTCAATATTTTGTTTCTGCTAACTACAAAGACCGACAGGGGATCATGGAAAACTTAGTTTCACAACTGTAGAGCACCTGTTGGCCTTGATTGCAAATGTGATACATTTATTTGAAACCATCACTACTTCTTTATTATTGCAAAAGAAAAACAATCTAAACAGATTAGCTGTTTTAAGAAATTCATAATTTCTCTCCGACATTTATACTGCACAATATGCAGACTGTTGCACCGACACATAGTTACACTCGTATAACCTACAGATGGTATTACACAGAATACTTCACACATACTATAACACATACAAGTGTTAGACTGGTCTGCAAATTTTGGTGGGCGCATCAAGCTATTGATAGAATCTACAAAATAAACAGAGTTTGCACACTTGCTTATCTAATCCGTAGTCCTGGTGGCAATCAGACAGAAAGCTACGCTTGCCTTTCCAAATTCTACTTTTGTTTGACTCTACGCCAGCAACACATTGATATCAACATATCTTCTTAAAGTTTAAGTAAGTCTGGGTGTATATGAATCCAAATGTATTCATGGTTATATCTTTACATTAATATTAAGTGTCATGTTTGTTTAAGTTTCCATATATGCCTCCAAAGATCATGTAATACATAAAAAGAGTATTAGAATAAGGATCATAGAAAAGAGCCACACAGAAACATATTATGTACTCAAGATACTCCTAGGCAAAAATGCAACATGCAAACCTAAATCTAGAGGTTAAAATTAAAGGGAATGAAACAACTTTGTAGGTGGACATAGATGAGGCTTGTTTGAAAGTAAACAGGATATGAGATTAAGTTAGTGCCAAATGGAGTGAACTGCTTAACTACTCCCATGACTTTATCAACTAGCCCTCTGGTTTGATAAAGTCTTATTGAATAATGAAATCTGTCTCTTTATTTAGATTCTGGCATCATTTGGCATGCCTTGTATATGTGCAAAAAAAGAAGCATTAGAGCCGGAGACATTTGGGTGGAATGCCCATATTACCCTTGGCTTTGAATTTAATGATTAATATTGAGACTTAGAACAACCATATGAAAACTGTAAAATGTAGGTGGCATTATTGAGGACAAGCCATTGTAATAAAGAAATTAAGATGAATAATAAATGTACTGAATGCGCAAAAAAATAATTTGAATTGTATTATTTTTGGAAGTTAAAAGAAGAGGAAAATGCTGAACAGATTAAGAAAGAAAATGGGATGGGAAACTGAATACTGCAAAACAGGAACAACTCATGAAATTATGACATCCACACAGTACGTTATATAGTACTATTTGAAAATAGAATGCAGGTGAGCCATCCAACACAAAAAGCTGCAGATACAAGCATTGAATGAATTGTTGATTAAGTTCAAAGACTACAAGCCTGAATATCTCTCAATGATGTTACAATAAAAAAGGTCTAAGATGAAGAATCCAGTAGGGGAGACGTAGGTTTCTTCCTTGTTAGTAGAACTCTAATTACTTGAACCAAGCACCCTTAAGTGCTTTTGGAATGTTCCTTTTAATAAGCTGACATTTTTGAGGACCATCACCAACTCCTGCAACAGTGTTATGGATTCTGTGCTCAGAATATGTATGATTGAGTCCTGCATAGAGAGCCAAAAAGGCTAAATACACAGATAATGGGCCACTTTTTTTTAGAATCCTGTAACTCCAGCACAATCACCACACTCAAGGAATCCAGGAGTCGGCTCAACTCTGTGCTACCTTGCCCCTACCAGTTCTAGCTCTGGTAATAGATATTCTAAGGAACCCAAACAGTCCTGGACATCCAGCAACCATGGATGGATCCAGACCTACAACTAGTAGTTCACATTGCACATCAAATATAGCCCAGGTATGTACTCCACACAGAAGAACATTCCATTTGTAGATTGAGTATTCCTGGGATTACCTATACCAGGGGTTCTCAACCCAGTCCTCAAGGACCCCCTACTAGTCCAGGATTTATGGATTACCTGGGTGTGTCTAAGGTGTTTAGAAAAAGAAAAGAATAAGAAACACCTTAGACACACCCAGGTAATCCCTAAATTCTGGACTGGTAGGGGTCCATTGAGGACTGGGTTGAGAACGCCTGACCTAGACAGTGGATGCCTGGTTTGTACCCCATTCTGCCTGCACTTCTTTATATCTTTCTGAAAAATAGTAAGAAAAGATTATAACTTCTCAGGTTACCCGGGTACTTCTCAGGATTGGGGTACTGGGAATAGAAGATACGCAGCGACCATAATATCAAAAATTTAGAACATTATGAGCTGGTTTGTTGGCCATGATTTACAGGCTTCACAGACATCACCCACAACCATGTGTTCCCCTGGTTTACACTCCATAAACACTAACTGGTGCTTCATGAATTTTGACTCCCTGGCATAATTTTGACAGAAAGTCAGTATCAATTTCTTGAAGTAATGTTCTGGGGAATGAAAATGACCTGTGAAGAGTGAGTGTATGTAAAAAAAATTAAAAAAAATTAAAAAGTAGGAACTGTATTAAACGATTCCACTTCCCAAAAAATGATCGAAAACATTTCTTCTTTAATACCCACTTTAAAAAAAATAAAATAAAGAATCTTAAAAATAACATCCTGGGAAACAAAGCTAATAGTATTCACTGTGTTCCTAGTGTACTCATTTTGTATTGTCTCCAGCACTTGAACAGGCTTTACTTATAAGGTTAGGTTTACCAACTAAGATTCTATAACTGACTTACTTTAGCATATATAGCAGTTTTGTTTCATATTCTCCATCCAGTCGACACTATAATTTCTATGTGAATAATTTAATCTTATGGTAAAATGCATGCTGCAAGTGTACGTAAAAAGACAATGAATCTGACTGTGAGTGAGTCCCTACCTACATACATGCAGTTGCTTCAGATATCCTTTGCCTTTCCCCTTTTGAGTTCCTCTAGGTATTGAGGTGATTCATATAGTACTATATGGCTTTGGAGCTCAGAATTAGCCCAATCATAATTCAATCAGTTCAGGGCCAAAGAGAAGACGTGGTTTGACTGAAAAATAAATTTTGGTTATTACAAAGTAGTACAGACCATAACTGTACTTGTTCTCACATCACAGAAGAATCAGCAGGCTTTGTAGTCCAGACCCCACAGTGTCTTGCATTAGATAGGTGCAACCATGTACTTGATAGGTGCAGGGTGGAACATCCAGGTGCAGAGATCCATCAATGTAAGCATGCTGCAGGCAGGCAAATATTTGCTGGTTCTCTTTGAAGCCAATTGTCAGCTTTGCTCATGCCAAGTCTCAACCCAAGAAAGCTCCCATATGCCAGTCAAGGAAGAAGTCATAGTTGGACATCTGTGTAACAGCAGCTTCATCTTCAGGAAGGAAACCTGCAGCAATACCTTCAACAACCCATTCATTCGACTTTCCCAAAGCATTAGACTTTGTTCTCACAGAATGAATGTAATTATGTACTGGACAGCATTGTCTGTATGAAAATGGACTTCGGAGTTTGCATAATTTAACAATTTATATTTCTTAGCATTTTGTATTCTGTTGGTTTGATGGAGTGAGTGGTTTCATTTAATAAAAGAAGATGGAAAAATTTAACTAAACGTTATATTTACAGAATACATTTTTTGCTCAAAATTATTATTTTGTATTCTACTGAACACTTTGTATGTTCCTGGTATATTTATGTAGGATAATAAGATGTACTCAATTTATTGTAAAACACTAATGAAAATAAAATATTAAACACCATGAAATTGCATTTAAACTTTTACCGGTTTCCAGCATTGCTATTTCTGGTATCCTATTTACGACTATTCCAAGACTAAGGCAGCATTTCATTAGGATCATGAAGAAGGCCTAAGCCAAATGTTGATGTATTTGTGTGATCCTTTTGTTTCTTTTAATTAGACATTGCCTGCGTATGTGGCAAATGCATTAATTGGTATGATTAACTGGTACTAACAGCCAACATGAGTCAAAGCTACAAAGAAAGCTTAGTTGTTGTAGAACTGAGTGTGTTTATAAAAAGACGACCAGTCAAAAAGAATCTGTGAACTTTTCCAAAAGACCCTGGGAAAACATAGAAACTACCTTTACACAGATGACATGTTCTTGCAGTCAAAAAAATAATTATGTTAATAAAGTAAATTTGTTGACCCTCTAATTTAACTAAATTATATTTTTTTATTTTGTGCTTGGCAAGGTATATGATAAATATTGGACACAGTCAAGAAGGAAAAAATATGTTGATATGATTTTAAAAGATTTGTTTATTCAACAATAATTCCTCATTGAAAAATGATGTTCTCAAATTACATATAGATGCTCAATATATAGAATAAGCGACATAAAACCTTAAAACTCCAAATACAAATTTAAAAAATGTAATTTAAAATATAGCATAAAAATAACAACATAAGGTAAAAAAAAATTATATGAGTCATATCTGTGTGAAACGTGTTGGTCTTTTTGAAGCAGTCGTTTGTTGTGAAAGATTGCTTTTATTGGCAAGACAAAAACCAAAGCGCATGAAAGCAGACCTTAAAATTCAGGATGGATGGAATCTGAAATACCTCAACTGAAGGTTACATTATGACAATGAGTTGCATCATAAAGATTACTTTTTAAAGCTGGATATGATAGGAGGATTGAGATGGGTTGAATAACACTTTGAACTACTGCAACTCAAGCTTGTACAACATATCAGGAGTAATTCTTAATGAATTCTAAAGCATTAATATTTAGAGGTGACAACACTTCTATTGTCTGAAATGTAAAGTGTAAAAAAAAAAGTGCATTTATTTTTCCTTTTCCTGTGAATAAGAGTTCACATGAACAAAAAGAGTACAAGATCTGACGATTTACAGTAAAAATTGTTGATAATTTAGTGTGTAAAGATATTCTATCCTCCCAGAACCTGCCAATGGACTGTGTGCTAAATTGCAGGATTAGCTGAGAGCTTGACACTACATGGATGATGTAGTATACACTAGAAAGGGGTTGTAGCCCTAAGATTTCACTATATGAAATGGCTATTTTATTTGGGGACATGTTTTAATTATTATTTTTTTTTTTTTTAGAGGTGGCAAAAACATTTTTCAAAAATGCACATGGGAAGCTTTAAATAGAAACATAGAATATGACGGCAGATAAGAACCATTCGGCCCATCTAATCTGCCCAATTTTCTAAATACTTTCATTAGTCCCTGGCCTTATTTTATAGTTAGGAAAGCCTTATGCCTCTCCCACGCATGCTTAAACTCCTTTACTGTGTTAACCTCTACCACTTCAGCTCGAAGGTTATTCCATGTATCCAAAACCTCTCAGTAAAGTAATACTTCCTGATAATATTTTTAAACATTTGTCCCTCTAAATTAATACTATGTCCTCTTGTTGTGGTAGTTTTTCTTCTTTGAAATATAATCTCCTACTTTATTGTGTTGATTCCCTTTATGTATTTAAATGTTTCCATCATATCCCCCCGTCTCGTCTTTCCTCCAAGCTATACTTGTTAAGTTCCTTTAATCTTTCCTTGTAAGTTTTATCCTGCAATCCATGAACCAGTTTAGTAGCCCTTCTCTGAACTCTCTCTAAGGTATCAATATCCTTCTGGAGATACGGTCTCCGGTACTGCGTACAATACTCCAAGTGAGGTCTCACCAGTGTTCTGTACAATGGCATAAGCACTTCCCTCTTTCTACTCCTAATACCTCTCCCTATACAACCAAGAATTCTGCTAGCATTTCCTGCTGCTCTATTACATTGTCTGCCTACATTTAAGTCATCTGAAATAATTACCACTAAATTCCTTTCCTCAGATCTTGAGGTTAAGACTCTATCAAATATTCTGTACTCTGCCCTTGGGTTTTTATAACCAAGATGGATTATCTTGCACTTATCCACATTAAATGTCAGTTGCCACAACTCTGACCATTTTTCTAGTTTGCCTAAATCATTTGACATTTGGCTTATCCCTCCTGGAACATCAACCCTGTTACATATCTTAGTATCACCAGCAAAAAGACATACCTTACCATCAAGACCTTTTGCAATATCACTAATAAAAATATTAAAGAGAATGTACAGATCCCTGAGGAATGCCACTGGTAACAAGACCTTGCTTTGAA